GCCTGACCGACTTGTTTCCTGCTTGAATTGCTTCCGGAACTTTATTACCGTCGTGCGGTTGTGCTGTACTTCCGGAACTTTATTACCGTCGAGCGGCTGTGCTGTACTTCCGGTTTTCAGTTTGCTTACAGTTATTTTTACACAGTTATTTTTATGTTTCACCTTCCCTACACGGATGTCTACTTTAATCTACCAATCTCAAAAATAATCCACGTATATATACAAAAAAGACTGATTTTTATATGTATATGTGGATAACTTCTTAGATTGGTAGATTAAAGTAGACATCTATGTAGGGAAGGTAAAACATAAAAATAACTGTAACTTTTATTTACTGCATCTAACCCTGGGGTAACCCATACTAGTTCGGTTAGGTTAATTGCAATAAAGTTGCATTGATATGTTTTAAAAATGTTTTATTATCATTAATAAATAATCCCAATAATCCAGTAAATCCCAATAGCAGAACAATAAATATTTAGAGATTTCCAATAATTTTGGCCATTGTAGCGGCTAATGTAGCGCGCTACATTTTACTGTAGCGGTAGCGGTAGCGCCGCTACATTTCCAAGTAGCGCTGACCAGCTCTGATTTTAACATCGCAATCAAGCCGTGCATACATGGAGTATAATAATTAAAATCGTTCTTACTATCGAGAATGCACCTGTTTCTGGAAAATTTGTTATAAATTGAAATCTTATAAAATATTTTCGAATTACCTCTCCATTTTTTTTCTTCTAGCATCGCCTTGAAAGAATTATAGAATTTTTTCACCTTTGAAAAGCTGTTCTAAAATCAAAAAAGCAATTTAATGTTCTGCATATCTCAAACGTCTGCCGTTTTTTATTATTTTGAATAACAAGTCATAGTTTAAATTTATTCCTTTATTCCTATTTCTCATTGTGATGCAGTAACAAGATTTCCCCAGGTATTTTGTAGATCCGATCCTTCATCTGCATGGATTTTTATTTTTATGGCAGAATGGCTGCCTAGACTAAACTATCATGAGTAATGATGAATAAGTTGATGGTAATTATCAATAAACTCGCTGGTCACAGAAAAATTAAAATTTCAATGAGGATGTGTGATGGCAACTGTCCAGGAATATTGACGACGATAGTGAATTTCACCGTGAACTTTGAGATTCATGCCGACGTAGCATCAAGCATATTGCAACTCTGAACTTTGGATACATTTTTTTGTCAGTAACATCAAAAACTGTGTTTTGATTGTTAGCCTTCATTGTCATTGTGTTTAATTATTATGGCTTTTAGAGGAGTATTGTTTGTAAAGAGTTCCAGAAATCACAAACACAGTTTTAGGCATATGCCTCAAACTCTGACATATGCCCTGATCCCTCAAACTCGTCGTTACCGTTACGTTCCATATTCCACCATGCATAGACCTCACTCGACGGCTTCCAACGACGCGCTTGCGGATGCGGAAATGACTGAACCCACTTGCGGATTCACGTCACATGACTTACAACAGATGACTTACGACACATGACTTACAACACATGACTTTCGCTACATGACTTACGACACATGACTTACAACACATGACTTTCGCTACATGACTTACGATACATGACTAACGACACATGACTTACGACACATGACTAACGACACATGACTTACGACACATGACTTACGACACATAACTTTCGCTACATGACTTACGACACGTGACTAACGACACATGACTTTCGCTACATGACTTACGACACATGACTTACGTCACATAGCTCACGACACATGACTCACGAAACATGACTTACGACACATGACATACGACACATGACTCACGACACATGACTCACGACACATGACTCACGACACATGACTCACGACACATGACTCACGACACATGACTCACGACACATGACTCACGACACATGACTCACGACACATGACTCACGACACATGACTCACGACACATGACTCACGACACATGACTCACGACACATGACTCACGACACATGACTCACGACACATGACTCACGACACATGACTCACGACACATGACTCACGACACATGACTCACGACACATGACTCACGACACATGACTCACGACACATGACTCACGACACATGACTCACGACACATGACTCACGACACATGACTCACGACACATGACTCACGACACATGACTCACGACACATGACTCACGACACATGACTCACGACACATGACTCACGACACATGACTCACGACACATGACTCACGACACATGACTCACGACACATGACTCACGACACATGACTCACGACACATGACTCACGACACATGACTCACGACACATGACTCACGACACATGACTCACGACACATGACTCACGACACATGACTCACGACACATGACTCACGACACATGACTCACGACACATGACTCACGACACATGACTCACGACACATGACTCACGACACATGACTCACGACACATGACTCACGACACATGACTCACGACACATGACTCACGACACATGACTCACGACACATGACTCACGACACATGACTTACGACACATGACTTACGACACATGACATACGACACATGACGCACAACATGGCTTACAACACATGACGCACAACATGGCTTACAACACATGACTCACAAGGTGGCTTACAACACATGACGCACAACATGGCTTACAACACATGACACACAACATGGCTTACAACACATGACACAACATGGCTTACAACACATGACACAACATGGCTTACAACACATGACACAACATGGCTTACAACACATGACGCAACATGGCTTACAACACATGACCCACAACATGGCTTACAACACATGACACAACATGGCTTACAACACATGACACAACATGGCTTACAACACATGACTCACAGGTTGCTCACAGCAGAAGCTGCGGAACACTTGAATAAACTAAATGACAAATTGATATAGGCGACCAAAGAATCATTAATCAGTTCATCTAATGAATAAGCGAGCTTCAGGTCTGATAAATGGAGCACCAACGACCGCCTGCGAACATCTGTGTCAACGAAGCTCTTCGTCTTGTTGAGCGATGCACGTGTCGTCGGGCCAGAGCTGGGCAGCGCTACTTTGAAATGTAGCGGCGCTACCGCTACCGCTACATGCTCTAAATGTAGCGGGCGCTACCACTACCGCTACACCCACTAGATTGTAGCGAGCGCTACCGCTACCGCTACAGTAAAATGTAGCGCCGCTACATTAGCCGCTACAATGGCCAAAATTATTGAAATCTCTAAATATTTATTGTTCTGCTATTGGTATTTACTCATAAACATTTAATGATAATAAAACATTTTCAAAACATATCAATGCAACTTTGTTGCAATTAACCTAACCGAACTAGTACGGGCTAAATACAGTAAAAAAAGTTACAGTTATTTTTATGTTTTACCTTCCCTATATGGATGTGTACTTTAATCTACAAATCTAAAAAATTATCCACATATACATATAAAAATCAGTCTTTTATTTGTATATATATGTGGATTATTTTTGAAATTGGTAGATTAAAGTAGACATCCATGTAGGGAAGGTGCAACATAAAAATAACTGTAAGCAAACTGAAACAATAGAAAATACCTGTAAGTGGTAACTGGTAACAACTTAACAAGTAACAACTAACATGTTGACACTAGTAACAGGCTGAGGTTGACAACAATACACCGAAATCTTTCGTACAGTTTTATTCTGTATTTTATATTATGTATCACGCTTGTTTTTAAATAATATTTAATACTATTGAGTAAAATCTAAAGGCTTTATCTATAAATATTTTCGTAGCAAGTTAATACATCCAATAAACTGCTTGGGCTGATCAGACGCTCCTACGAGTACCTAGATATAGAAATGATGAAGCTGTTGTTCACCCCTGTCGTGCGCCCAAACCTAGAGTTTGGAAACGTCGTGTGGTCACCGAGACTTGAAAAGGACAAAAATTTAGTTGAGAGTGTTCAAAGACGTGCAACAAGGATAATACCAGGATTAAAGGCAAGTCTTATGAAGAAAGATTGAAGATTATGAAGCTTCCCAGTCTGCGTTATCGTCGCCTGCGTGGTGACCTCATTGAAGTATACAAGTATACTCATGGTTTGTACAAGGTCCCAGAAGGATTACTAGAATTTGAAACAAGAACCAACACCAGGGGCCACAGCTATAAACTAAAAAAACTGCAGTTCAACTTATCCACGCGACAACATTTCTTCTCGCTTTGAGTCACTGACACGTGGAACAGCCTCCCTGAAGATATTGTTGACGCTCCGAGTATGAACGCGTTCAAGAACAGACTAGACAAGGCCATGCATGAGCATATGTTCAGTCTTAAAATGCCTCGTACCCTACGGAACATCTGATATCTAGAAGCGATTTTAAATCTACCGTCCGTAAGGCCAGTCTAGTCAAGAAAAGTACAAGAATCGGCGACAGGCCTATCCAGGCCTATTTATTTAATGCCGAAGATACTATACTATACTATAGTACAACTTGACAGTATACGAGTACAATGTACAAGGCAATACGCTAAATACAATTTTTCTATCAAGGCTAGTCCATAATTAGTCGGATCTAGCCCGAAAGTAGATAAGTTGGCAATAGTGAATTCATCACATGTACATTTTACAGCCGCGACAACGACACTTAGTACGTTACAGCCTCGGGAATAACATTATACTAACAACAATGATGGAATCTCTTGCGACTATGCGACGCTCGAACCTCTGGCGGGATAATCAAGTAAAAATTTCAGTTTTCGCCAGCTATGGTTGCCACGACTCTACTGCAAAAGAGGTAGAGTAAAAAAGGTGAAACTTTCATAATGAATAAACTTGTGAGACATCCAGCCTTCGTGAACGAGAAAGATCTAAGTCATTTATCACACAGGTGCTTGCAGCGGATGCTTACATTTGTTGCTTACTGCATCTGAACTAATAAAATCAAAGGCATATAAAATCAGAGCCACAAGCAAACAACGTGACAGAGCAGCAAGAGCCTTTGAACTGACCGCAGACCCTGTCGTTCCTCAGCAGTCCCAACAACAGGAGCCTTTGAACTGCCCGCAGACACTGTCGTTCCTCAGCAGTCCCAACAACAAGAGCCTTTGAACTGCCCGCAGACCCTGTCGTTAATTCCTCAGCAGTCCCTGCAGCAAGAGCCTTTGAACTGCCCGCAGACCTTGTCGTTCCCAGCAGTCCCTGCAGCAAGAGTCTTTGAACTGCCCGCAGACCCTGTCGTTCCTCAATAGCCCCAGTACAAGGAGAGTCCTTGAACAGCCCGCAGACCCTGTCGTCCAGTCCCTGATCACAGCCCCAAGATGTCGCGAGGTCTCGTGCTTCTCATCGTCGCCACGGCAGCAGCGTCGGCGCAGGCGTAAGTAACACGTCTTCAGAGTGGCGTAAAGGGTATGCGATAACACTAACCAAGCGGAAATAAGTTCAAGTTTTTTGCGAGGATATTTCGTAATAAATGCTACTGATATTTATTTTCATGTTTCCTATGATTACTAGGACAGTAACTTTTTATATTTAAGACGCTTTGCTTCATATGATGGCAGCATGAATACCTGAGTTTCAGAATGAAACACCATACTAAATATTCTATGGAAGGCGACATGATAATGTTAATAATAAATCAAGTGACAATACATGATTTAGAGCGCTGTAATAATAAAATCAGTATTATTTAAGGCATTCGATACTTGCTTGCCAATAATCGGATAAAAAATAACAGTAATAGAGGTGTCAGCGTTTGTTAAGCCATTAGACCTTTCGCCGATTCTTAACATTGCAGAACATTCAGAGCTTGCTGCGGGTCTCTATTATGCAGCTCACTGCTTCAGTTTTGGTATTCTAAACTGTAATCACTTGGCAACCCTATGAGGGCGACATATTTACTAATCATGATAGATTTGAAAAACATTGCCCCCCTTCTGGTGAATAACAACAAATTTTGTTTGCTTCAGGCATGAGTTGCATTTAAGGGGATCTTATTCAAATGAATAACATAATTCGTGAACCGCTGTAACATTTGGTCCTCGTTGAGAACAAGTCAAATCATGAGCTAGAGGCCCGACGACCTGCCTGGCCATATCATTGTATTCCTAATCATATTTTATCATTGCATTCCTACTCAGCTATAATCATTATATGGAGCGAGGAGGAGACCTTACACCTGCATGCATCCGATCGCGGAGAGAAATGTTCGTACATTTTAATGCGGCAGAGAGATTTTCAGGTCGCGGAAGGACGTGTTCGATAAACTTATTGGAACAGTGCAATTTGCAGGTGGCGGAAAGAAGTGTTCGTGCATCTTAATGCGGCATTCAGGAAGATTTGTATGATGCGGAGGTAGGCAGAAAAACATTTCGGAAACTGTGATTTCAGCCAAGTTTTTGCTCCTCTCCAGACCGAAATTCGGGAGCTTTCTTCGCCGTGCGACTTTTTCTTGATCTAATCAGTTTTATTCACATTCTAAGCAAAATTTTAATTTGATCATTGATGTTGTCCAACAACCTTGTCAACTTGAAAGGATTTACTACTTAGGAAAATTTAATTTCTCAGTAACACATCTTATTCCGAGCCTGATGAAGCAAAAAACGTAACTGTAGAGATAGATAATATAATATTATTTATGTAAGAGCGTACCCATTTAATTTGTGGGTTAATTCCAGTGCCTATTCGGCTTGCTATTGGGCGGTGAATGATGCCATGAAAGCTGTGCCAACAGCTGCACAGTTGTCTGCTTGCTCGTCACAGTGTTCGGCCAACGCTGCGGATATTCAGAAATTTTTGGCAAGTATGTGCTAAAATAATTAATACAAACTATTTTACTTCCTCCTAAAACATTGTTATTGTAAAAACTTCCCATCAAGCACTAAAATATTTAGATTTAAATGTGCAGACTTTCTAGCGTAAGAATGAAACATGCATTTTGCTTATTGATAAGTGCAGGACAAGAACTTTACTTTCATGAATGCGTATTGATTTTTCAATGATTCTGGTTGAGTTACCGAACGTTAGCTAACCAATAGAATCCCTGCATTGTTTCACTCCTGTATGTTCTTTCACAATGAGATGTTACCAACACACCATAAACGACTGCCTCGTTTTTCCCCAGACCCAAACTGCTCTATGTCCGCTGACCCGTACGACGCGGCTACATGCGATCCAATTATTGCCAACTGCACGAAGTGCGTGCTGAAGGCAGCCAAACTTGTGAGTAAAGCACAATACTGAACATCGAGTGCTGGACTTGAGATTATGACTATATATTGGGCATCGAGTGCGGGACTTTTGTATGTGACTGTACAACGGTCATTGAGTATCAAGTGCAGGGCTTTTGTGTGTGACTGTACAATGAGTACCGAGTGCAGATATTGTGAGTATTGCACAATGGGCATTGAGTATCGAGTGCAGGACTTGTGAGTGTGACTACATATAAGGGCGCCGAGTTCATGGCTGGACATTACAGCTCAAAGATTCTGGTCTCATACTCGCAACACACGTGCTCAGCAGTATTTATGTCTGGTGTGTAGGTCAGATTTTTTCAGGGTTAATGTCAGTCACAAACTATTGGCGTGACACACTGGTGGGGCACACAGATCTGGCAAGTAGGTCAAGACAGCGGGAAGACATTTTCCAATTCGGTATTGCTTCCATGTTCTAAAATTTCTCCTTACATTATCCTCAACGATGCTCTTACATTTCTTCGCAACAGCTCACGAAACGAGTGAGATTAAATTGGCTTGAGATACCCTTTCCGATCTCATTTCACACGTTAACTCCGAAGTGGTACATATGCGTACCACGAAATGTATTTCTCCAGGACGTAGTGGTACATAATTCACGGTGGCCAGATGGCCTAAAAAACGGCCAAGTCTGCCAACAGAAAAGGCCTCTAACTCAATATATAAGTATAGTGCTTGCATATTTGTAGGTTCCGGTGTAAAAATTCCGTTTCTTTTTTTTGCAGTTTTTTAGAATTTAATTAGGAAGTACCCCTATCATAAATTTTAGCGCAATAGAAAAAACTAAATTACGGAATTTGTCCGATAAAAAAAACGTGTGGCGACAATGATTCAAAATAGTACAAAAAATTAAATAATAGCTAGTTCAATATGAAGCAATCGGAGTCAACGTGTTAATGCTAAAGAAATTTTTTCAACGAGCAAAAAAATTACTATAAATCCAAACTCCAGTTACCATATATTCTCCATATCTCCACCTCCCGTTCTCCAGCTGAAGGCAGACAACACGTTCGACGAGACGGCCTTCAAAGCAACCACATTGCAGAACAAATGCAGCGCTGACGCCAAGTTCAAAGCCGCGTACCCGACGTGCAAGAACTCCACCATGAAATATTTGAACGTAAGTAAAAGCGTGAGCTTATTTATTTGATTTAGAAAAAAATGCTACATTTTCCACATGCATTGCTCACATTTTAAATTGACAAAGAAATATTACCAGCGGTTGCGTATAGTTCGAACAATAATTAAAGAAAAAAAGCCTCTTTCATAGAAAATCAACGATGTCAGACCACTGCAGCAAACAGAAGAGATCGCAGAATTTCCGTAAATGTCCATCGCTGATGCCTCATGTTTCATGTTACAGTTAAGCCGGCTATTCCGATGTCTCTTTACTGCTGTAAACCCCTGAGATGCACGGAAGAACATGGAGGGGTGATGTCACGGGAGAACATGGACGGGCGATGTCACGGGAGAACATGGACGGGTAATGTCACGGAAGAACATGGAGGGGCGATGTCACGGAAGAACATGGACGGGTGATGTCACGGAAGAATATGGACCTGTCTCTTATACACATCTAGATGTCCCAGTACAAAGAGTCCTTGAACAGCCCGCAGACCCTGTCGTTCCTCAACAGCCCCAGTACAAAGAGTCCTTGAACAGCCCGCAGACCCTGTCGTCCAGTCCCTGATCACAGCTCCAAGATGTCGCGAGGTCTCGTGCTTCTCATCGTCGCCGCGGCAGCAGCGTCGGTGCAAGTGTAAGTAACACTTCAGAGGGCCATGAGTGGTTTGCGGTAACACCAAACAAAGCGGAAATGTGTTCAAATTTTTTTGCGAGGATATTTCGTATTAAATGCTACTGATATTTTTTTTTCATGTTCCTCACGATTACACGGGCAGTAACTTTTTATATTTAAGACGCTTTACTTCATACGATGGCAGCATGAATACTTGAGTTTGAGAATGAAACACAATACTAAATATTCTATAGAAGGCGACATAATAATTTGAATAATAAATTAAGTGACAATTCGTGATTTGAAACGCTGTAGTAAGACAACCGAATAATTTACGGCATTCCATACTTGCTTGCCAATAATCGGATAAAAAAATTAGAGTAAAAGCGGCGACAGCGTTTGTTAGCCCATTTGACCTTACGTCGATTCTTAACATTGCACAACATTCACAGCTTGCTTCGGGTCTCTAACATGCAACTCACTGCTTCAGCTTTGGTATTCTAAACTGTAATCACTTGGCAACCCTACGTGGGCCACATGTTTGCTAATCATAATAGATTTGAAGAACATTGCCCTCCTGCAGAAGAATGACAGCAAATGCTGTTTGCTTCAGGTATGAGTAGTATTTAAGGGGATCTTATTCAGTTGAATAATATATTTCGTGAACCGCTGTAAAATTTGGTCCTCGCTGAGAACAAGTCAAGTCATGAGCTGGAGGCCCGACTACCTGCCTGGCCACATCATTTGTATTCCAAATCATGGCCATACCACGAGCAACGGCCTTACCACGTTGAAAGCACCGCTTCTCGTCCGATCAGAGAAGTTAAGCAACGTTCAGTCTGGCTAGTACTTGGATGGGTGACCGCTGGGCGCACCAGATGCTGTTGGCTTTTCTCAGGGCAGGGTGGCCCGGTGGTTACAGTTCAGAGTACCAAGATTGGAGCAGAGAAGTGCAGGTTCGGTCCCAGCTCTGTGCGCCAGTTTCTGGACTAAATCGGCAAGGAGGCCTGGCGGTTAAGCAAAGCAAAATTTGAGGCAATGAGTTGCGCTTTCGAGACCGCATCAACCTGTGAATATTCTGCGATGTTAAGAATCAGCTACAGGCCTACGGCCTACTAAACGCTGAAACCGCTATTATTATTACTATTATTATTATTATTAGTAGTATTATTATCATTATTTTTATTATTTTTATTATTATTAGTTTTGTTAAGGGACCTAAAACCCGCCTCCCTTTGAGGAGCTGTCACAAAGTCATTTTTCGACGCACAGGGACGATACTTATATCGTTCGATGCGCAAGAAAACAACCTTTAAGATGAGATAAGAAACAGAAAAACTCAACATTTTCAAATTTTAGCTAGGTCGGTCCCCTTAAGCAGCGTTGAGTCTGGTTAGTACTTGGATGGGTGACCTCCTGGGCGCACCAGATGCTGTTGGCTATTCTCTGGGCAGGGTGGCCCGGTGGTTACAGTTCAGAGTGCCAAGATTGGAGCAAAGAAGTGCGGGTTCAATCCCAGCTCTGTGCGCCTGTTTCTCGTCTAAATCGGCAAAGAGGCCGCGCTGTTAAGCAAAGCAAAATTTGAGGCAATTAGTTGAGCGTTCGAGACCGCATCAACCTGTGAATATTCTGCGATGTCATTATTATTATTATTATTATTATTATTATTATTATATTTTTATCATTGCCTCCCTACTCAACTTTAATCATTGTATGGATCGAGGAGGAGACTTCACACCTGCATGCATCCAATCGCGGACAGAAGTGTTCGGACATTTTAATGCGGCAGTAAGATTTTCAGATTGCGGAAGGACGTGTTCGTTAAACTTATTGGGACAGTACGATTTGCAGGTTGCGGAGCAAAAGTGTTCGAGCAGCTTAATGCAACAGTGAAATTTGCATGCCGCGGAGGTCAGCAGAAAAACTTTTTGGAAACGGTTATTTCAGCCAAGGCTGTGCTCCTTTCCAGACAGAATTTCAGGAGCTTTCTTCACCGTGCGACATTTTTTACATCAGATCAATTTTATTCATATTCTAAGCAAAAACTTAAATTGATTCTTGAAGTTGCTCAACAACCCCATTAACTTGTACAGATTTACTCGGGAAAATTTAATTTCTCAGAAACACTTCTTATTTCGAACTTGATTAAGTAACTGTATATAGCTGTATAGATAATAAAATGTGATTAATTATGTAAGTGGCGTACCTATTTAATTTGTGTATTGATTTCAGCGCCGATTCGGCCTGCTATTCGGCGTTGGTTGATGCCAACCGCGCTTTGTCACGCACGGTGGAGACTGCTTGCTTGTCGCTGTTCACTGCGGATGTTTTTGCGAAATATAATGCAAGTAAGTGATAAAATAATTAATACGAACTATTTTACTCTCACTTAAAACCATCGTTATTGTAAAAACTTCTCTTCAAGCACTAAAATATTTAGATTTTAATGTGTAGATACTCTAGCGGGCGAATCAAACATGCATTTTACTCATTGTCATTTACAAGTGTTGGACAATAACTTTTCTTTCATTAATGCGTATTAATTTTTCTATGATTCTGATTGAGTTACCGAAAGTTAGCTAACAAATAGAATCCCTGCATTGTTTCACTCCTGTATGTTCTTTCACAATAAGATGCCACCAACACACCATAAACGACTGCCTCGTTCCTCCTCAGACCCAAACTGCTCAGTGATGTTCGCTAACCCGTACGACGTGGCTGCATGCGATCCAATTATTGCCAACATCTCTCTGTGCGCGGTAAAAGCAGTCAAACTTGTAAGTAAAGCACAATACTGAGCATCGAGTGCAGGACTTGTGATTATGACTGTACATTGAGCATCGCGTGCAGAACATGTGTGTGTGACTGTACATTGAGGATCGAGTGAAGAACATGTGATTATGATTGTACAAAGGTCATTGAGTTTCAAGTGCAGGACTTACGAGTGTGACGGTACATTGGGCGCCGAGTTCACGGCTGGACATAACAGCTCAAAAATTCTGGTCTCATACTCGCAACACACGTGCTCAGCAGGATTTATGTCCGGTGTGTAGGCCAGATTTTTTCAGGATTAATGTCAGTCACAAACTATTGGGCGTGACCCACTGGTGGGGCACCTATAGGCTTGGCAAGTGGGTCGAGACAGCGGGAAGACATTTTCCAATTCGGTATTGCTTCCATGTTCTAGAATTTCTTCTCACATCATCCTCAATGATGCTCTTATATTTCTACGCAACAGCTCACACGAAACGTGTGAGATTAGATCAGCTTGATCTAATCTCCCTTTTCGGTCTCTTTTGACACGTTGACGCCATAGTAGTTCATATGCTTACCACAAAATGTATTTCTCCACGACGTAGTGGTACATAATTTAAGCTTGCCGAATGGCCTAAAAAACGGCCAAGTCCACTAACATAAAATTGCCCAAAAGGCCTATAACTCAATATATACTGGTATATATGTAGGTTCTGGTGTAAAAATTCCTTTTATTATTTTTGCAGTTTTTTAAATTTAATTAGGAAGTATCATAAATTTTAGCCTGCCAATGCAATTGGAAAAAAAAACAAATCGCGGAATTTGTCCGAAAAAAATACCTTGTGGCAACAATGTTTCAAAATAGTACAAAAACGTAATAACAGTACAAGATAAAGCACTCGGAGTCTACGTGTTAATGCTAAAGAAATTTTTTCACCAAACAAAAAATTAGTATAAATACAAACTCCAGTTACAATATGTACTCCATATCTCCGCCTCCCGTTCTCCAGCTGAAGGCAGACAACACGTTCGACGACGCGGCCTTCAAAGCCACCACATTGCAGAACAAATGCAGCGCTGACCCAAAGTTCATAGCCGCCTACCCTAAATGCAAGAACTCCACCATGAAATATTTGAACGTAAGTAAAAGCATATGCTTATCTATTTGATTTAGAGACAAATGCTACATTTTCCATATGTATTGCTCTAGTTTTAGAGTAACGAGGTAAAATTACCAGCGGTTGCGTATAATTCAAACAATTAAAGAAAAAAATTTCTTTCATAGAAATTCAACGATGTCAGAGCACTGCAGCAAACAGAAGAGATCACAGAATTTCCGTAATTGTTCATCGCTGATGCCTCGTGTTTTATGTACCAGGTCTCCCGACTATTCCTATGTCTCATGAATGCTGTATATTGACGGGTGATGTCTTGGACGGGTGATGTCATGAACAATGAAATGAGCCAGAACAGACGAACTGAGCATCAGAAGACTTTTCTTCTTCCGTGACCAATTCATTTCCGTTTAGATGGCTCGCTGACCAGAATATTGTAATTGTTGCAATTTGAATTCGGGATTTTTTTTATTTCGTTTGTGGCTGTGTGCTTTAATCTTTGGTTTACGGATTTCTTACAATCAAGTTTCACTCTCTCTTTCCCCATATAATATTTAGGAAAATGATGGAAGGATGCATTTATTATACCCACATTAATGAACATTTATCAGTTTGCACATATTATTCACAAGTTATAATGCTACGCACAGTTTTCTGAGTATAATATTCATCTATGAAGTAACAATACAATAAATGATTTGAGTGCTCATATATTTTACTATCCTGTCTGCCTTAATTGTATTTAAATTTCATGTAAGGTTTTCTTGAAGAACATTTTTATAGGGGCCGATATTTGCTGGTACGTCACAGTGCGTTTTTCGTCCCACATTTCGTATTCTGTGCAACGTCAAGGTACATCCTTATGGTGCGTCCGCTCCCAAACACATTTAGCCATTTTTTTTGCCCAAATGCCCCCCTCAACCCAAAAGGACTCCCTGAATGGGAG